TCAATTGCCAATGAAAGATCAATTCTAATGTGAATTATGCATTATCCTTTAAAAGTTTTTAAAGGTAAGAATTATTGCAGTCTAGTTTATTCAAACAGTGTTATACGGTATCATGGCAAAGAACTGAAAGACAGAAAGGATTACTTTTGACTTAATATAACAAAGAAACCCAAATTAACAGTGGCTTAAACTGGATTTTGTCGTCAGGAAACAGCAGCCCAAGTACCTGGTCTTTCTAGTTTCCAGTCTGCCTTCTTTAGGGGGCTGGTTTTGATCCTTCTGGGCTGGCAGCCAGGGCTTCTGTCATCGTGTGTACATACCCCCAGCAGTAAGATGGAAGAAGACCATCAAGAACACAGGCTTTTTTTTTTCCTTTGAGGAGACTTCTAAAAAGTCACACATTACCAGTTTCCCTAGAGTCAACTTTGACTCATGACAACCCCATGTATGTGTATCAGAGTAGAACTGTGTTCCATTGGGTTTCCCATGGCTGATGTTTTGGAAGTAGATCACCAAGTCACATTCTTCCTTTATACCTTTAGGTAGACTTGAACCACCAACACTCAGTTTGCATGGAAATACCCACCTTCAAGGGTAGTTAGGGAATATAGAGACAGCAGCTTTTAAAGAAGCAGGGACAACAGACATTGGGAGATAAAAATTCCTGCCCTGTTTTAGCTGCAAAGCTAGGAAACCCCTTTAAAGAAAATCTTAAAAATACTTCATTAAAATTGGCAATTTTGGAAATCACTTAGAAAATAGTATCCACTTTTCTGATTTAATTAAACTCATGTAGCCACAGAGAGAAACCATACAGTCTGATTTTTATTTTGGATGACTAAATGGGAACTCAAGTGATTAGGAAACTTTATATATATATGTGTGTGTGTGTGTGTGTGTGTTAGACTGAACTCAACATTTTTTGTTATCACATGGTGAGAACCTCTGTACACTAACTATAATTTTTAAATTAAAAAATTGAACAATCTGTTCAATGTCATAAAATTCACTGTTTAAAGGTATGACCAGATTATGTTTCCACTAAAAATATTACAATTTCACTTAGAGCTAATGACCTATACTACACAGACACCAGAATTGTTTTATTGACTTATCACCAATTAAAAGTAGCTCATCACATTTTCGTGATGACACATCACAAGTATAAATCTGAATGCTGATGAAGGTGGAGTATACTCTTGCGTAGTCAAGATTTTATAAAACAATTTCAACATGGCATTTCAGGCTGTTTTGTGTATTTTATAGACTGACACAGGTATAATTAGTTCAGTGTTTACAGTATTTCTAAATGTTGATGAATTACATTTATAATACTTTGTTTAAAATAGCTTATAATAAAACCTAAATTTTATAATTGAGCCTCTTAGAAGTGGAGGATTTCTCTGTATGTTTACTATGGAATAGCTTAATGGAAAAAGGCAATGAAAAAAAAAAAGGTTTTATTTTATATTACAAAAGAGAAAAACAAAATACTTGGATATGTTATATTCTTGAAGTCTCTTTGTAAAAAATAGTTTTATAACTTGAGTGTAATATAATATGAATAGACCTTAAATTACTATTATCAAAAATAATTCATTTGGAAAGTAAAATTACTTAATGAAGTCAAGGTAATGCTAATTTTTAAGAAAGTAATCAGGTAAAGTTTAACACTCGTGCTAAATAGCCAATCCTGTGTATGTAGCTTAAAATAATTATATTTAATAGATATTTATAATTTATTCATACTTTGAAATATTTTAATGTTTAAATTCAAAATTTTCACATGTAGATAATTTGGGCTAACTTTCTGTGTATGTATTGAGAAATGTATAATAGCTTTAATACACAGTAGTCATATTTAAGTATGACTTCAAATGTTCTTGAAAGAGGAGACATGAAATTTACATGGAAGATAAAGTAGCACAATATAAGTCCATGGTTATTTTCCTCTTACAAAAAGTTACTTGATTTTTTTTTTGCATAGAATTAAGACTAGATCTATTTTTTACAATCTTACCCTTTGCTCAGGGGCAGTTTCTCAAACACAGATCTTGAAACAAACCCCACGCTGCTCTGAAGTTCCCACCAATTCATCACATCTAGCAACAAAAGAATTCTGAGGCCAGAAAATGACTCAGAAAAATCATCATCATGGAAATAACAATTAATACAAATAATCTGATAGTAGTAAACTAATCTATAACCAATTAATATTTTTATGTTTGTAATAAGTTTTTAAATATTTAGAATTATAATGAATATAATACATTTGTGCTAAAGCTTCAAAATACTTCATCTTTTAGTACTAAAAACACTATTTGAAACAAGTTTAATCTTTTATACATATTCATAAAAGTTTATTTTTTCATATTTCATATGCTCCATTTATCTGCAATAGTGATCACCATATTATATATATTATTGGCTTAACTTAATATATACATTCAACAATATACTTTGAAACTCTTCTCATTTTTAAACAACAAATTTCATTGTAATTTCACAATAAATAGTTAAAGCATGGCCTGAAGAAAGTAAAATGGAAGGAACAGGAAAGTAGTGAAAATATGCTGTTGTTTTCACTTGTTCACTAAAATGTGTGTCTATAGGTGTTTGAAGTCCTGGTGGAGTTCTATAGGATAAGCACTGGACTGCTAACCACAAAGTCCTTGGTCCAAACCCACCAGCTGCTCCTTGGAAACCCTATAGAGGGTCACTATGAGTTAGAATCAACTTGACAGCACTTAATAACATAGTAACCTTAAGTTAACATCCAACTGAATTTCTACCGAGACCTAGTAAATGATATATAAGAGGGGAAGAATATCACAAAACTTAAGAAAATGGAAAACTTAATAAGCGGTTGGTGCAGTGGATTAATATGCCACAGTGCAAAGTTGTTTGAGCTGCAAGGTCGATGGTTCAAGCTCACCAACTGCTCCTTGGAAACCCTATGGGGTCAGTATCAACTAGATGGCACTTAACAACAACAACAATGCAAGTACAAGGTATTTTAAAATTAACAAGAAAAAGAGACCAGAATCCTGAGAATATGGACACAGCAGAAGTAGGGAACAAGCCATTGGTATGTAAAAAGTCCTTCTATTTCTCTGCTGCTAGATTCAACAGTACTTTAGTAGGTAAATTCAGAAATTTATAATTTCAGGAACAGGACTGTACAGAATTGTACTTTCTCTGCAGCTTTTAATTTTAATAGTAACAAATGGGGAAAATGTGGGACATTCTAACTAAGGTTTGAACAAATTGTAACTTAAATGTGGAATGTTAACACTGAAAAAAAATTATGAATAATTCACATAATTATATGTGTCTAGAGTAGATTTACAATTAACCACAGGTAGTGTAGTGGTTAAAAGTCGGGCTGCTAATCTCAAGGTCAGTAGTTCAAAACTACCAGCTGTTCCATGGGAGAAAGAGGAGGCTTTCTGCTCTGGTAAAGATTTACAGCCTCGGAAATCCTGTACAGGGTCACTATGAGTTGGAACCGACTACACACTACCACCACCACCAGCTTATCCTAACATTCTTCATCTTGCTGATGAATGGTTAAGTACGCAGGAAGTCATCTCAGGAAGAGAAAAGGAAATGACCAATGCCACAGAGATTTTTCAAATTTTCTGTAGGATCCTCAGCAATTTCCTATCACTTGTTCTGGTCCTTTATCTACTTGAGACCAGCACTCCATGAAAGGGAGCTTTCCTGACTGCTGTGGGGCTCTAGACCAGTGAAGTTACTGTCGAGTATCCTATGAGCAATAATAAATTTCTGACTCAACCTACAAAGTGTCAGTGACTTTATATATAGAGGAAGGCACCTAGACTTGAGTGTACAACATAGGGATAGAGCAGGGACGGTAGAGCTTAGCGGTTAAAAGTGTATCCTCTGGATCTGAATGTGGACTTTGTCACTTACTTCCTAACCCCGCACAAATGACTGAACGTTTCTAACTCTCGGTGTCCTCATATATAAAATGAGCATAAGACCTACTTATACAGGGTTGTCATAAGTATGAAATGGGACAAGACAAGTAAAGTGCTTAGAACAGTGCTGGCTTGCTACAAACCCTCACAATATAAACTACAGAGAGTCGCAACTGGCTACAAAGCAACAATGTGGTTGATGACTATTTGTATGTAAATTGGACACATTCTCTGTAGCCAGGAATAATTATAAGATTCTCAGGACTGGGATTATGTTCAAAATAGCAGTTTAAGAGGCAAAATATTACTGAGTCCTCACTGTAATCAGTATATTATGCAAATAAAGCTGATTAAAACTAAGAAAATCGTTCATGAGGTATGCATTATTAGTACTTATTTCATGTCACCGAAGTATTTTAATGATGATTTCAGGGTTAATCTGTCTTTTTAATTTGTGTATATTCACATAATCACATTGATTCATACAGTTAATTATCATCTCAATATTTTAGGAGATAAATGTTACCATGCACCCTTCCCTAGATGCTAGTGTAACATGTCCTTTTAAAAAAATAAGTTATGAGTATGTATAGCTTAAACTCTTAAGTTGTATAATAATTAAAATCTTACTTAAGCACCTGAAAAAAAATAAACCAAACCGCATATGTACATTGAAATATATTAAAACCTTAAAATGCTGCTGGTTTGCAAAGAGTTTTTAACATTATGAAGTGTGTCTATATTATTAGCTAAATATTTTGACCTGATGGTGAAATAGTTTTGTTCAAATAACAATAGTGCTACAGTTGTACAAAACAAAACATACCTAGATTTCAACAACTTTTTGATTACAAAAATTCCTATTGGCTGACTATGAATTTGTGAAATTAATTTGGAAAAAAAATCCTACCACAGATTTGACAGATCTTCAGGCAAGAGGTTTCAACCCACAGCAAGTGTGACACACATTTACACAAACTCCTGAGCACAGAGGGAGTACTAAAAGTAATTGTGGAAATAGAGCTTTCACATGGCATCAGTGAGCACCACATAGCATCACATCACCGTGACTCTCTCTGGTGAGAGATGAGGAATTGCTCCTCCAATACCTTCTTCTAGAAATTGGTTCTTTTCCCAGCCTTTCTTAATTCTTTTTAGCTTTTGGCTTATACACGGAAGGAGTAAAATAACCTTACCCAGAATTACAATTGAAGGCAGAACAAGAGCAAGAACAAAGTTTGGTGGTGTATAAAACCGATAGTACTCTTCTTCAAAAGCTCGTTTCCATCCATATATTAAAACATGGAAAGTACTTATAAGCAGAGCAACATATCCAAGTGTAGACTTGAGGTGGGAGAAGGAAGAAAAAGAAACAAATGACTCAAACTCATAAATTAACCCATCAGGTACACCATGTTTACATTTTGACAGAATTATTCTGTTTTAAATTATTGGAATGTTCTTTGTTCTCTCTAAATTAAGCTAATTTACTGGTTTTTCATATGTTATCTAGATTTACATATTTATGCACACACTTTATTTTACATAAATAGGGTCATATTGCATATAGCTCAATATTCTGATCATTTTACTTATTTATCAAGAACCTTTCTTTCATATCATTAACTACTCTGAGAATATGATTTTAATGCTGTTTAATATTCCATTGAATGAATATATGATTATATAACTACTACTTCTTATTGAACACTTCTGTTTCCAACTTTCTTCAACTCTTAGGCCACTTTAAACCCTTTTCTGTATTTCAATTTATATCCTTAGGACTGATTTCTACTAGTGTGATTTCCTTCAAGGTGGTGGCATAAATGGCTAAACTGTTCTTTAAAAAGGTTGTTCACGCTCCTACCAGCTTTATGAAAAAAATGTATTTAACAAAATTAAATGCTAAAGAGCATTCTTGTATGTGTACACATATAGACTGGTAGATTAGACAGAAGTTGATAGGTAAAACTTTAAAGTCCTACCGAATTAATGCATAACACAAAGCAATTCAAACATGTGGCTTTGTTAACCATATTAAATGAGATCTTTAAAAGTATTCAGGCAATTTATAAGATAAAAATCTAAAAAAGTCAGCATTTGTGGGTTCCCTATATTATCATATTTCGAACTGCTCACTTTGAGAAATGGTCTATGTTGCATAAAATGTAACATAGTATCAGTATAATGATGTAATGTCTAACTTCCCTTTGAAAGAATTAACTTTTTGTTTTAGCAGAAAAAACTGTTCTGTTTGTAATTACTCATCTTAATTTATAATGATAATCTTTACACATCTAGTACATTTTTGGAGTCCTGGTATGGTGTGGTAGGATAGGCACTAGACCACATCCGAGTCAGAACCGGCTTGTTGTTTGTTATTGTTGTTATGTGCCATGAAGTCGGTTCCAACTCATAGCGACCCTGTACAGGGTTTCTGAGGCTGTAAATCTTTATGGGAGCAGAAAGCCTCATCTTTCTCTCGCGGAACAGCTGGCAGTTTCGAACTGCTATCCCTGAGGTTAGCAGCACGATTCTTAACCACTATGCTACCAGAGCTCCTTACAGTACCATCAAGCTGATTCCCACTCATAGTGACCCTATGTAGAGTTTCCAAGACAATACACTTTTATGGGAGCAGACGGCCTCATCTTTACATTATCACAAAGCCTGTACTGGTTGTGTCCCAACTGGTTTACAAGGTATAGATGAGTGTCCTTTGGTGGTGCACCAGGTTTCATTTTATTTTGTTTCTCTGCCTGCTTTCTTGAGGTTTTTGATAAGCCTCATTTAGAATAATGAGTAATCCATCTTCACTTTTTGGAGGAAAGAGAGTGTGAGTACTTCCCAATGGTCTGTTTAATCATCCCTGAAAAGAACCCTGATACTGTCAAACAGGCAGGAAACAAAAGAAAAGAAAACAAAATAAAATCAAAGTCTATTGTCCTGGAAACTCTACGTAGGGTCACTATGAGTCGGAATCAGCTTGATGGCAGTGGGCTTGGTGTTCTGGCTTAGGTTTAGTAGAGTCTAAATTTGAGTTATATGTTTTAAAAATATACATGTTTATTATATATATATATTACCGGAAGAAAAAGTTTATTAAAGAACAAAATGATTCTGTGAAACCTCTTTTACAAATGCTTTTAAGCATAAGTATGTGACCGATACACTAAATTTGTTGTTGCTGTTAAGTGCCGTCGAGTTGATTCCGACCCATAGCAACCCTGTATAGGGTTTCCAAGGAGCAGCTGGTGAGCGTGAACCCACCGATCTTGTACTAATACATATATAAAAAAGATGTATGTTATTGTTAAGACTAGTTATAATCCATTAATTTAGCTACTTAGCAGTGCTTGTATGTGTGTGTCTTAAATATTCGGACTGAATTTTTTTTTTTTATTCTTGAACTCAAATTAATGAGATGTTTTTTCCTGGAGAGATCAAGATGATTCACGATATATCCTAATTCTCTATTCATCTGACTAATAAATAAATTGACTTTCACCATTAAATTCGATCTAAGCTCACCCCTACTTCACTTTTTTTCTTTTAAAGTAACCTTTCTCCTTACCTTAGTAGGCAGTGTTATCAAAGCCCTTCAGTATTTATATCCTGGTCTTACTGAAGTAAAGGGGTCCTAAGTTGGCCTCCAGTGTTACATCTCCCAGCTTAGATGCTTAAACATAAATCCTCTGTGGTTGAGTCAATGCTTACTCAGGGTGACCCTACGTTTCAGAGTAGAACTGCATTCTGTAGGGCTTTCGATGGCTTTCATCTTACAGAAATAGACAGCTTGGCATTTACCCCTTACTTAGCTCTACTGGGTAGATTTGAACTGCCAACCTTTCAGTGAGTGGCTGAGAGCAAACTGTTTACTTTAACCACCCAAGAAACCTTAACGTTTCCTTTTAAATAAAGAGCATTATTTGTTTGGGAGCTTATTAAAATTCAGTTGTACTTAAAAATTAAGTTCTATGCCACCAGATTTCTCACCAAACAAACAAAACCCCACCTACCTGAATAAAACTGAATTCCCTCCAGTTTAAAGCATTGCTTACTGAGGGGATAGAGGTGACAGCCAGTAGGGAAAGCAAACCAAGGCTCATTATTCCAAAGGAGATGTACATTTCAATCCTCCAAACTTCTTCTTCATTCCAAGAGTTTTCAATATTTGCGTGAACCTGACAAGAAAGCATGAATTTCCTTTATTTGGTAGGACATTAACTGGTTAAGTATAGATTTCACTCTTGCCACAAGAAAAAGTGAGTCAGATATGGACATACTTTGATGTTGTTGTTGTTAAGTGCCCTCAAGTCGATTCCGACCCATAGAAACCCTGTATAGGGTTTCTGAGGAGCAGCTGGTGAGCTTGATCTGTCTACCTTGTAGTTCAAATGACTTTGCAGTCTGCAACATTAACTCACAGCGCCACACCAGGATTCATGAACATATTTAGGCTGTGCTAATTCAGTACAACAAACCATTTTGGAGTCTGTATTATTGGATGATATTGTTTAGGTGTCAGGGAAAGGAAAGTAGAGTTAAACAAAAAGGGGACTAAGATGCTCTCCTTCTGTGAATACATGTGAGAAGTAAGGGGGCAAGCCTATTATCTTCTTTGAAAAACATCCTGGGTTATAGACTCTGGAGTCTCAAAACCATGAAAGTAGAGAAGTGGGCTCCCAGGGCGATGCAAATGAAGTATATGTAGCCTGACTTAGTTTTGAGTTAGTTTTAGTAGTAGGTTTAAGTTTTGTTGAATAATTTGGGTACATTTTGACCTTAATTCAGTTTTGAATTGTGGTATAATGAATCTAGTGTCTCTTCTAGCTGTAGTCTGTAACTCCCACCAAAGGTTTCTGCCCTGTTGGTCTGGGTAAGAGAAGGTGGGGGAAGATACTAATAGGATGTTGTGATTCAGCTGTGAATGTTAGCAGAGTTACCTGTAATCGTAAAAACTTGAAACTGAGACATGGCTCAGAAGTTTTAAGAAAACTTTTACTTAGAAGTTAAAAAATAAAAGTTACTGCTTCATTACTTCTCTGGGGCAGCCATAGTTACACCCATACAGAGGCTGCAGCGCTCCTCTTTGGGGAAAAAAAATCTTCTCACTTTGTTAGATTTCTGTACAATTAACAGCTTCCCTTAGCATACCTAGACATGACAACTTGCCCTCCCAGTTCATTCATTTAACAAACACTCTTTAAGTATCTACCATGAGCTGGGACTTCTGGTGTGGCGCTGTAATCAGCACTGGACTGTGAACCATAAAGTCAGAAGTTCAAACTCCTCAGCTGCTCCTCAGAAACCCTATTCGGGGTTGCTATGAATCAGAACTGACTCGATGGAACTGAACAACAACAACCATGTGCTAGGTACTACTGTTCTATGCACTGGGCATGTATCAGTGAACAAAATAGACCAACACCTCTCTGCTCACGGAGCTTACATTCTGATGGGAGAAGGCAGACCACAAATAATATAATAAATAAGGAGAACATAAAGTGTGTTAAAAGGTGGCAAATGCTACTGAAAAAAAAAAAAAAAAGTAGAACAGGGCAAGACTGGGATTACCAAGGACAGGCTGGTAGCGGAGTTTAAAATGGAGTCCCCTGAAGGTCTCACCAAGGGAAGGTGAGATGAAAGCAACAAAATGAAGGAAAGGACGTAAAAGGAGTTTGTCGAGCAGATAGAGAAGTGGCATTCTTAGAGAATGAATGGTTTAAAGGGCACTGACTTATTCATTTTTTCAAAGTATTTACGATTTATAATCAAAAGAAGCCTATCTCTAGATGCCACGTACTTGGGTCACTATATCTTGACTCCTGGTAAAATGCAAATGCTTTTAAACAGTTGCTTTAGTAGAATGCCTTCAGCTTTCTTTGAGGAATGTGACAAACAGTTCAGTGAAGTCTCTTATTTGCAAAATGGGAATTATGCAGTATATGATATTATCCAGGAGTCTTCCATGAGGTTCTCCCTGAATTTCTTTTGGAAGGAAAGCTAAAGTTACTGGAGGGACTAGTATCTTTTCAACTTTTTGACAAGTACCTTCTAATAGTGTCTCCTTTTTCATACTATTAGAAACCTCAGAGCTAAAATAGAACGGTGTAGCCTAGCTAGTAGAGGCATGTTCTGCTTTTATCCTCCTGATGTGCATTTCCAATCTGTGTTATATTTCACTGGTTCTAATTTTATTTATATGTTCATCAAGAATTATGTTATTGCTTTGTGGAACATGGCCAATTATTAAAAACTTAAAAAACAAAAAAGCCCTTAAAATATGTAATGGTTTAATGCTGAAAGAAATCATTGTAGTCCTAAAATTTAAAAAAGAGGAAAAGACTTAACAGTTTTCCCCTTAATGATTTTACATTAACCATTTAATTCCTATGTAGGAACATTGTATTAAGACCAAGTCTTTTCCCTCCTTCAATACACTCAAAGAAATGTCCTATTATAACATACATAAATTTTATACTATTTTAAATCTTATACAAATTATGCTAATTATATAAACATAGTCCATACCTGCTGATAAGCCATGTTGAGAAACAAGTACCTCTCTGACCTTCTCATTGGTAAGCAGAGGCTGTAGGCAACATGGACAGCAGCGAAGAAAAAACTTAGTAATCCAAGCTGTTTTCTACACTGTAGCCAAGTCTCCAACCAAGGTGGAAATCTCCTATACTTGGTGCTGTAATAAAGCTGGTAAGTTGCAGCCAGGAGACCTGCTAGGTATACCAGGGACAGCAAAGTAATGGCAACTATGGGCAAGGTTTTATTCACAATCTCAATAGGAATCTTGTAAAAGTCACTTTGCTGGTTTCTTGCATATGGATGTATCACATCTCTGACAAAGGAATAAAGGAAGAAAAATGTGGCCAGGCTGATGGCTACTACCACTGGCCCTCTCCAGAGAGTAAATAGTCGCAGGGGTACATTTTCAATCTCCCTGGCTGATGATAAGGATCCCAAGTCAATGGGAATGAAATTCAACTGGCGAGCAAGTTCAATAACCTGTTGCCGAGCTTGAATGTTGTTGCTGCATATGTATACCTGCAGAGACAAAAGAGAAAGGCTCATTGTGACTACTGTTTATAAACATCCTAAGGCCTACACGCGCCATTTTAATCTGGGGGGCATCCCTTGTGATGACATTTGAATGATGTAAATGATTAAACATTATTTAAGTTGTTTAAATTGAAATAAACTTATCTAAATTGAAATGATTGGTGGTTGTGTGCTGTGCAGTTGGTTCCGACTCATAGCAACCCTGCATAGGGTTTCTGAGGCTGTAAATCTTCACAGGAGCTGAAAGCCTCATCTTTCTCCCATGAAACAGCTGGTAGTTTCGAACTGCTGACTTTGAGGTAAGCAGCCTGACTCGTGACCACTACCGCTACCAGAGCTCCTAAATGTAAAAGGTTAAAGTTTATGAATTCATTAGCTTATTATTTATCTATTAATAGGTTAAAATAGTGTCATAAAAACGAAACCCTTGCCACCTATGACATGGACATAAAATGCAGACAAATCTAAGCTAGAACCTGGGTTAGGGAGTCCTCAGAGGAAGGAAAGAAAGGGGGGGTTTCGTAGGCCATATGATTTGGTAGTAGTGACAGGGTTAGGTCTCCTCTCCAGTGGGCCACATCCAGATGGTGCCTGAGCAGCTGGCCTACTCCTCCTCCCCCACACCCTCATGTCTCTAATGACTCACTCAGGGAACAGGGCAGATTTGATTTTAGCAGAATGGCTGCAAGTAGTGATACCTTACAGATGTGTAACAAGAGAAGGTAGGCATGGACTTTGGGTGGTGACGCCTGCTATTAGTACTGGTAAATTATATCACAATCATATATAAAATGTCTCTTCTGCCTTAGAAGCCAATTTGCCCGATGTTTCTGAAAAACCATATGTCATCACAGTTATTTTATTGGTCCATATGTGTAATTCTTTTATTGTTAAATAATTACAATATACCTGGTGAGAAAAAAAAATGATAAAACTTAGTTAAACTGTAAAGCAACTGCCATTTTCTAAGACTTAAGATTTTACTTCTTTAGGAACTTTAAAGACATGATGGATCAGGGTGAGGTTGGACTTTGCAACTACCAAAGTTGAGATTTCAACAAATACTTGTTGAGGTCCAAGTTCACTGCTGGAGTGATCCACGGTTACTAATAAGCTGGTCATCTCACTTAGAGTTAGAAAAATATTGCTATAAAGTCTTCAGTTAATGTTTGATAATAATAAATTCTTAAATGTATTAAGGATATTAGACATGGCTTCATACAGAAATTGAATACTGTGTTGTAGACAGGTTACTAGATGGAGTCCTGGTGTGTCACTGTAGGATAAGCACTAGACTGCTAAATGCAAGCTTGGCAGCTCAAATCACCATTCCTGTCTCTGAGATGGCCCATTTGAATCCTAGTAGGATGGCAAAACTAGCCAATCCCTATGTAAGAGTTTTATAGCACCCTATTTGCATGGTCCCACTTCAAATGGGTTCCATGTTCCTTATTTACATTATTAGCAAGCTATGCAATCCACACAAGGCATTGCAAAATGTGCACTGGACTGATAACCCAAGATTGGAGGTTTAAACTCACCAGCTACTCTTCAGAAGTCCTATATAGGGTTGCTATGATTTGGAACCGACTCTACAGCACTTAACAGCTGTCACCACCACCACCCAATCATTTGGTGGGAGTTACACAGACTATGGTTAGAGGGTCATATTAAGTAATTCACAGCAGCACAGACGGTTATGACAGGAAAATCCAAGTTATTTTATAAGGTTTTCACATCCTTTTGGAAATACAAACATGCTCTTAAAAATTTAGAACATTAATCTTCAGGTCCTCCTGCACAGCTTTCAAAATGATAATCATTAGAGCAGTCAAAACTTGGTATTTAGATGATCATTGTTTAACTATTTATGAAATACCAGATAAATAAGATTAAAATAAAAAAAAAATACATACCTGCCGGCTTGCATCTTTAGGTCCTAACTGAAGTGCCCAAGCTGAGACAACATTAAATCCTTTGACAATCAAGGAATCTGGGAATAATGAAGCCAGATATTCAGCATTGGATTCTGGATATTGGTTTATCCTCATGTTATTGCTAACGTCAATTAGGATTTTACCCACAAGTAGATGTCTCAGGTCCCACAGAGAGGTATAATGTTCTCTATGTATAGCAACAAATATTATATTTGTTTTTGTTAGAGCATCTTCATGATGAGTGACGTCTACTACATGAGGAAAGAATTCAGATGCAAACTTAGGATTTCTGCTTCCTATGACCACGTGATAGCCACATCTAATGAGTCGAATGGTCAGGGATTTGGCAAAATCCCCACTTCCAATTACTCCTATAGTAACCTTCCTTGCATCTTTGATCCCGTTTATGCCATTAGGCAAAAAATTTTCACTAAGGCTCTTGGGGCTTCCCATCATAGAGACAGATTCCATGATACAGACTCTTCCAAGATCACCAGGAGTATCCTAGGGAGAAAATAAAATGTCCATCAACTGTTTATTAACAAACACAAAGACACTTTTAGATGTTACAGTAATGTTCCTCGATTTTTTCTTGTTCTTAGGTGCCACTGAGTCGGTTCTGACTCATAGTGACCCTATGCACAACCAAACAAAACACTGTCCAGTGCTGCGCCATCCTCACACTTCTTGTTACGGTTCCTTGTTTTCACAGGTGAAATATTTTGGTGAACTAGAACACAAAACGACATAAGGTAAAAAAGGATCTCTCAGTAGAAAAACTGTCACAAAGGTGATGAGCTAAAGCAGGGCTTCACAAGCTTTAATGTACACACAAATCACCTGGGGATGTTGTTAACCAAAAATATCCCGAGAGGAACCTGAGACTACAGCCCTGGACCACCCTTCAGGTCTGGAATGGAATTCACCCTCGTGGCCCAATTATAAAATTTTAACGAGCATGGTTACCAAGGTTCTCACAGATCAGAGGCATCAAATCAGAAAAGCAGGTAGACAGAGAGAGAAAGACAATCATTTGATCAGAGAGCTCACATGATGACAGAAGACAGAAAAACTAGAAAAAAGCAAAGAGCAACTTTAAACCAGTCTGTCTAGTCAGTTTTGGGGTAGGGATAAACTGTCCTACGCACCTCAGTAGTTAGTGACTTTGAGTCACTTTCTGAGACAAAGGTATCAGCAAATGAAAAATAAATCCCTGGCCCTTATGAAAGGGTAAATAATTTTTAAAGAAATGCAAGCATCAATCTATACCAAAGGACCAAATAAATACCACACACTTCTATCATTCACCCTACATCTATGTCTATTGACAAAGATGGCTTTCCCATGGAAAAGGGACTAATCTGTATTTATGCTATTAAACTGCTCAGTGCTTCTGAAATCGCTTTTTCGCTTTTTAACTCTATGGCAGCAATGATAAATTACTCAATGCTGCTCTACCTGGGGGAGGGGGGGGATAAAATTATTTTCTACTTATAAACTAAAAAACACTATTCTAGCTTTGGCAGTGGCAGAGGCAGAGTCAGGTACAACAGGCTCCATGGAGGAGGGACTGAAAACCCAGAGAAGCTGCTTTCACGGAGCATCACCAGAGCTCCGGATCTAGCATAAGGTGCAGGGCATCAGTTTCCCGCAATCACCAATGGAAAAATCATGGTATAAAGGAAAATACTGCGATTTAGGAATCGCTAGAGACACAGGACTCCCTCTGTGTCCACCCCACCCGGGCGGAGTTCAGCGG